TCCCGGTTCAGCACCGCGAGTAAATCGATGAATGAAGAAAAAAGTAAAAAGAACTCTAGTGGCCAAATATCTGTTATAGGCTAAAAAACTGCAAAATGCCTCTTACATCTAATTATATTTATATTTACACTAAGATTCACTAACATCATACACTTGCCACTTCGTCAAAGATATAATTTTTATTTTCAATTATTCTAACGTATCAATTTTTCCTTTACCAGGGGTGCCCTAATCGGGGCAGAGAGGACATACTGTCGAGTTCTTCAAAGAGGCAGTAAACAAAGACAGGAGGGTCTCAGCAGGAGCCCCTACGATGAACCCCAGCAATCATGGAACCACGATGCGCAGGACATTCTGTTATTCGCCCCGTTCGAGACCGCGCACCACCATGCTGTACCAACTGCCCCCGAGTTCGAACAACTTAAACGGGGGCGGAAACATGTGGGGCGGAGGACCCAACGGAAACGGGGGCTCCGGCAGCGGAGCCATCGGGAGGAACTATTCGGCGGTCAATAGCAGGTAATAAGGGGATAAGGGATAAAGGATTAGTTGAAAAATACTAAGTTTGTGTTGTTTTATAACAAAATTTTAGTTATTAACTTCTGGTAGAGTAATCGTCCAAAAATCGAAAATGAAAATTTTTGCATATCCCACGTTTCTTGACATCAGTCAGGCGTTTGATAAAGTTTAGCATAATGGCTTGCTGTACAAATTAAAGAAGAATTTACCATACAACTATTATCTCCTCCTAAAATCATATCTGTGTGATAGAAGGTTCTTCATCAGTTTAATGATGCTTCACTAATATTAACTAGCTGTAAGTGGAATTCTGTCTTAAGGCAATTAGGGCATCGTGCCTAAGGCAAATTGCGGGAAATTCCCGTACCAAAAATTTTTTTTTTAAAAACGATTAACATTTTTGAAAAAAAAAATTACTTCGAAATAATTATTGAGAAACTAGGAATATGACAAAAAATTACTTTTTTTTGAAAAAAAAAATTTTATTTGAAAAAAAAAAATTTTTTTTGAAAGAAAAAATTTTTTTTTGAAAACAAACTATTTTTTGAAAGAAAAATGTTTTCTTCATTTGACATATTTTGGAAATTCTGAACTTTTTTTCAAAGCAATCGTAGTGCTTGAACTGCGTAGAGACGAATTGTCACAGCGCAAGTGCCGCGCCGCCGTCTAACGCATAAACTTGGTACGGAAACCATAGAAATGTAAAAAAAAAATTATACTTATTGAAAATTTCTATACAATATCTGATAATTTGATGTGCATATGTCTAATCATCATTTTTACCCGCCGAATGGCATTTTTTTTACTTTTTTCATTAGATCTCCGAAACCGCTAGACCTGCCTTCATGAAAATTTTATCAACTCTTTATCTTGCCAATACAAGTAAAATGTTTTTTGAATTATTCAAATCGGACGCTCCGTTTCTCTGAAAACTGAGTTACCGTTTTCGGCACTTTTTTGCCCCGTATCTTCGGAACGGCTAGACCTAACTTCGCCAAAAACTAATCAGCACGTCTCCTTATCAGTACGAATCGAATGTTTTTGAATTATTCAAATCGGTTGATCCGTGTTCCCGAAATCGTCGACGAAAATTTGTATCCGCACATACATACACACACATACATACATACACACACACACACACACAACACACACACATACATACATCCATTTTTTCTAAGGTATGCCAAAATGTTCAGAAACCTCTGAAACGTAAAGATATATAAAAATTTTCATTTTCGATTTTTTTGCGATTACTATAACTTACCCTACGAGAAGTTAAAAATATTTCTTCCGGAGTTCCCCAAGGTAGTGTTCTTGGTCCGCTGCTTTACATTATATATACTGCTGATATACCTACAAATGCAGAAACCATGATTGCTACCTTCGCAGATGATACGGGAATTCTAGCTCAACATGACAACCAATTGCTTGCCTCGGAAATTCTACAAAAACATGTAGATGAAGTAGAACAGTGGATGAAACTATGGACAATAAAAAAACTCTAAATTAGTTCACGTTACAACAAGGTTCATGCCCCCTTGTTAGATTGAATGGTGATTTGGTTCCTGTATCCAATGTTGTTAAATATCTGGGAATACATTTAGATAGAAGATTAACCTGGCATGAACATATTCTAAAGAAGCGTCAGCAGCTTGAATTAACACGTAGGCAACTTAATTGGTTAATGGGCTGGAAATCACTAGTCACAATAGAAAATAAACTCCTAATATACAAGACAATTATTAAACCAATATGGTCCTACGGCCTACAACTATAGGGTGCGGCCAGTAAATCGAACATAATTATTCTACAAAGGTTCCAAAATAAAATTTGAAAGAAATCGTGAACGCTCTAAAATACGTTCCCAATTGGTTGATACATCAAGATCTCAGAATTCGAACTATAGAAGAAAAAATTAGTCTTTACTCGTCTAAGTCGTCATTCAAACGAATTAGCGTGTGATCTGCTCAAGCCTTTACCACCAAAGCGTCTCAAAAAAAGAATCTGCAATGATTTACTACAAAATATAACATAACTTCTATGAAAGCGCTATCGCAGGATGGCGATCCTTCTCACGCAGTCAAATAATATATAACTGTAACAAATGTAGCTGAATGTACTTTGTATAGCTTGCTATGAAAAAAAAAATCGTGAGCACGGATCAACCGATTTTAGTGATTCAAAAAACACTCGATTGCTATTGATTGCTGATTAGTCTTTGAGAAAAACAGTTCCAGCCACTTCGGAGTTGATTTATTATATACAATTATAAGTTTCAATATATATTAAAGTATGAATTATTTTTTAGGACTTCACCGACTTTCAAAATCGTGGTTCAGGTGCTACACAAGGCATGCCATCAGGAGCTAATCGTTCGATGCCTCAAGGTGGAAGCATCAGTTCGATGGGAAACAGGAACCAGAATTCGAATAGAAGCAATCGGATGCAGAACTGGTTCAAGGAATACAGTGAATATGAACAATGTTTTAAGTGAGTATTAGACTAAGATCTTATTAACTTCCCTAGAGTAAGTTATAGTAATGGGACGAAAATCGAAAGAGAAATTTTTTGCATATCTTCACGTTTCAGAGGTTTTTGAACATTTTGGCATACCTCTATTTTTTATGTCCGCATTTTTTCGTTCACGTTTTTGGGTGCACCGATCAACCGATTCGAATGGTTCAAAAAACAATCGATTCCAATTGATAAGGAGATGTGCTGATTAGTTTTTGGCAAAGGCAGGTCCAACCATTTTGGAGATACCGAGCTAATTATGAAAAAAATGGCAATTTTTAAGAGAGCTATGCCTTCGATTTGGATGATTCAAAAAACTTTCTGCTTGTTTTGACAAAATAATTGCTGTTGGGAAAAAACATTTTCCCAACGAAAATAATTCAGATTTTAATTTTGATCCTAGCTAAAGTTCTAAACTTTACCTAGATTCAGTTTATATAATTCTTATAAATATTAGATAATTTTACAGTATTTATAATAATCTATTTGAAAAAATATTCCTCGAACATTTCGTTACGGTACGGGAAGTTCCAGCAATTTGCCTTAAGGCACGATGGTATACACCACTAGTTTACCACTAGTATTATTAATGTTTATAAAAATTATGCATGGATGGATATAGCACAAACATTGGTAGAGAAGTATTTATTTTTGCATACATTTCTGGATTTTGATTATGTTTTTAATAGCAAATTGTTGTAGAAACTTGATATCAGAAACTATTTTATAATATTTAATCCTAACATATTTCTCTATGTATCATTCTTATCAAACGATTGTTTTATAAATTATGATACAGATATAATAGTTATGTATTTTGTTACAAACACAATGAGTTTAGACTATATTTTTAGACAGAGTTTCTTTAGAATATTTCTTTTTCAAAAAAGTTGTAGATTATTGAACTAAATTGTCTTATATTTTATTCATATTAGTTGAATGATTTAAGATTTAATAACAATATTATAAATATACTTATAATAAATGCCTATTTAAAATTATTCTCTCATATTTTATTCCTTTTTCTTCAGTCTTTTCCTGCAAAATTAAATTTATAATAATTAGTTTATATTAGATGAGTTGTTTTTAAGTTACAAGAGATACAGTAAATGAATTTGCTTCTGAGATTGATATCTTTGGCCTGTCGGTGACAAATATAAAAAATCAAGCCAGGAAAATTATCCTTAAAAGACTGTCTTAAGTAGTGATTTATAGTTTATTAAATGTTTAAATTTATTAGTTTTTATTTAATGTTATATATTTGTAGTTTATATTAAGTGTTATGTATATATATACACAGCTATCTATGAACTCTTAATACTCTAATTTTTTCACATATTATCTCTTTATTTTATAATTTGTACACTTTAAAATGTAACTATATTTTATTATTGACTTGGGCGTTGAATAAATAAATAAATAAATAAATAAATAAATGTATATATGAGTGGTCATTGGCCAAAATAAATCCACATACTAAATATTTCTTTTTTTCCTAGTGAGGGCAACGGCAGCGACCGCAACAGCCCCAAAGACCAAAACTACCCCAAACCATTGTCGTCTCGCAGTGTCGGACAGGTTTTCTCTTTCGGACCAGAAATGCCCTCCGACCAGAACGGCGACAGAAGGAACAGCATATCGGGGCCCCAGGACAGACCCAGTATGAGAAACGGTCCCAATATGATGGGACCCAGAGGTGTTCAGGATGGGCCGATGCAGAGAGGGAATAGAGATTTTAGAAATATGAGCAGCTCGGGAATGGGCAGCTCTTCGAGGTCTGATATGATGGATCGAGGAGGAGATTATCAATCTTATTGGAATGGTAGAGGTGAGGATAATAGGAATAGATTGGTATCAAATTTAGTTTACTCACAAAAGAAAATAAATTTTATTAACTTCCCGAAGGAGAAGTTAATGTTTTCATCAAAAAATCCGAATTGCTAATTTTATGTTTTCTCGACGTTTCAAGCCATTCTGAATCGAATGAGACCAAATTTGGAAAAAGTATGTGTGTGTGTGTGTGTGTTTGTGTGTGAACAGATTTTTTGCCGTAAATCGACGTTTTCTCCAAAACGGCTGGACCGATTTCAAAAATTTAAAAGCCATTCGATGTATCTCGATGAGGACTATCGTCTCTGAGTTTTGTGCGGCGATCGGCCGGGCCGTTTCTTTGTAAATTGCAGAAATGTGAAAAGATTTTCGTCCACGTTTTAGCCCGCAATTCTGAATCGATTCTGAAAATTCAAAAACCATTCGATAGATATTGGTTGGGAATCGTGCTGATTAGTTTTTGGTAAAGATCGGCCGAGCCGTTTTCTTGTAATAACGTTTTTAAAAAAAAAAATTCGACGATTTTTTTTTTGACGGTAGATTCGTCAAAGTTTGCAAAAATTGGTATCGTTTTTTTGACATTTGTCAAAATTAGATTTTTGATCGACGTTTTCTCAAAAGCACCTGAACCGATTTCAGAAATTTAAAAGCCATTTGATGTATTTTGGTGAGGACTATCGTTTGTCAGTTTTGTGCGACGATCTGCCAAGCCGTTTCTTTGTAATTTGAAAAAAAGTGTTAAACTTTTCGTCCACATTTAAGCTCATCCTACCGAACCGATTTTAAAAAATCAAAAACTGTTCGAAAGATATTAGTTGGGAATGGTACTGTTTAGATTTAGGTGAAAATCTACCGAGCCGTTTTCTTGTAATTAACTGTTGAAAAAAAATTTGAGGCGATTTTTATGGAATTTTTTTTAGCGATATATACCATGGTCTTATAGAACTTACTGAATTATTACGGCCTTTTTTTACGACAAATAATTTGATTTTAAAAATTCATCAAAGTTTGAGAAAATGAGTAGCTCTTTTGACATTTGTTAAAATTAAAATTAGACTATTTACTTGGTATAATGATAGAGTATTTGGTTTTGAACATAATAAACCGTTAAAGTCCTGAAAACTGGTTCAATTATAAAAATTATTGATTTTTGAAAATTTGCTTTTAGAAAATACTCCGAGTCAAAGTGTTTGTTCATTTTTAATTATGTGTAATAAATCCACTCGGAATACTTTTAATGACTCATAAATTAATTTATTTTTTATTGATTAAGTCGATTATTTAAACATATCGGGAAGTTCATGTAACTTGCCTCAAGGCTAAATACCAAGCCAACTAGTCTTATATTTTATTCTTATAGATAACATGATATCGCCTGGGTTGCCTCAGGATGGTGCATGGTCCATGGAAGTGGAACATTCTGTTAAACATGGATCGGGCAGTTCAAATAACTCAGCAAGCATTTCACCAAACAACAGCGGATCACCAAACAGTAAGTCCACAATTAAATTTACTCAAAAACCATAAATATTTAAAACAATATTTTTTAGGTCCAGGTAGCAACAGCCCCCATTCCTCCCAAGACAATTCCTCAAGCAGTCCATCTCGCAAGCGCAGAAGGCTAGTCTCCACAAGATCTCTTCGGATAAGAGACGATGGGCCTAGGGAAAATGCGACACCTTCCAGTTCTTCAATGAACAATCCATCTCAGGGGAGCTGGAATGACCAGGGGCCACTCCTACATCCTCCTCCGCTTGTTAGACAACGCCGAAGCCCTAGACATCATTTGTCTTCGAATAATAACAACCCGGTTGGTAATAATGGACTGATTAATGGACACCAGAATGGTAATGGTAATGGACCTCCGCATATGCAGAGCAGGTACGTATTGGTATTTCTTGGACTGAAATTGTGAATGAATTTTATTTCGATTCTCCAGATATCAACAAATACATTAAAAATTTTTGTAGATTAGAGTTGTATGCAATTCAATATGATGTGATATTTATTCTAGTCCACCGCCTTTGAGAAGAGCCAGATATCGTGACCGCAACAGTTGGCCTGAAGGAATTACACCTCTGTTCCAGACAACAGCTCCTTCGACACATCAACCATCTCTGGTAGTTGATATAAATGTAAGTACACACACAATATATATATATATATATATATATATATATATATATATATATATTTTTTTTTTTCTATCCTAAACTCCGAAGAGTAAATACTGAGTTTCGACAACTTGTTAAGTTATCATGATTATTAGTGTGTTTTACCATTTGTGATGTTTGTGTTAAAAAATACATATCTTATCAATGTGCACATACTCATACCATGGATTAATAATGGTTTCATATGCTATATTAGGATACAAAATTTTAACTTGATTACCACTGAATGATGGCTAAGATGCTAGCCGAAACGTATGGATTTTAAATAAATAAATTTTTTAAAAAACTCATGCTATTTTTATTGATGTTACGCCCGAATATTAAACTCAAATTAAACATATATATATATATATATATATATATATATATATATCTTCTATATATATAAAAATAAGTCGGGTTTTCCTTCCTGACGAAATAACTCCAGAACGCACAAATCGATTTCGACAATTTTGCATTCATTGGAAAGGTCTCGGGCTCCGCAAGGTTTATAGCTAAGAAAATTAGTTGTGCATGGCATCGTGCCTTAATGCAAGCTGCTGGAACTTCACGCACCGTAATTAAAAATTCGAGTAATGACATTAGTGAGAATTATCAGAATTATGCTTGGTTAAGTCAACGAGCAATTCTTGTCGCAAAGAATAATGATGTACACGCACTGAATTTTACCATTCAATCAAAAATTGCTGGCGATTTGTTGACATACCAATGATTCTGACTGGTCTTCCGTTTGACTTCAAACGATTGCAATATCCAATTCGCCTTGCGTTCGCAATAACATGTCGCAAGGCCAATCGCTTAGTGTTTGCGGGATAAATTTCAAATAGATTATTTAGAAAATCATTGTTTTTCACATGGGCAGTTATATGTTGCCTGTTCACGAGTTGGAAAACCATCCGCTTTGTTTGTGTTAACGTCAGACCAAAAAACAAAAAATGTGGTTTACCAAAGAGCACTTCAATGAAACGGATAATTTGCGGATTCACTTTCATTTACTTAGAGAAGTTCAACTAAAAAACACTTCATTTTTGTAATCAAAATAAATTCGTTACTGTTGTATAATAAAATCAAATTTTTCCTTTTAAAATATAAAACAAACAAAAAATTTCTTCATCTTTCTCACGAAACCATCTGGTGGCGAAACGGAGTTCGTCGGGTTTGCTAGTATATATATAAATATAGTGGGATACATTGAACTACGAATACCAATAGTTTATAAATAACAGATCTTCTAATCTTTATTATTTACACAATATTGATGGCTCTCAATTGTACTTTTACAAGACTTGATATTACACTCATAATGTGAATCTTATGAATTATCAAATAATTTGAGTGTAATTGTAGGTATAAACAAGTACAAGTACATCATTGTACTCATTTACAGATATACTCATGTTAATATTATATTTTGCTGACTATTTATTTCTTTTTATTATATTATTATTCCAGGTGCCAGTTAGTTTTACCATTGACTGCAGATCATATTTGGTCATATCCTCCAAGACCACACATATCTCTATGTTCAAATGGACATCCACCACATTTGCAACCTTGTCAGGTAAATAAAGATATAAACATATACAATTGATTGTCAGATTGTAAGTCGTTATTTTAATTTTTGGTATGTATTCTTTTAGGTACATGGTATATACCATGCACAATACCCGACTAGTTGTCAACTGGGGCTGACGCAGTTTGCACCAGCACCTGGTGCCATTGCAGTACCACAGTATCATCAACACATTCCTACGGTTAGTATTGGATTGTAAAAATATTTAATTACCATTTTTAAAGCAAGTTCAAGTTCAAATTTTCATCTGTACTTGTAGAGGTTTTAGTAAATACTTTTTGGCATATAATCAGATTTAATTAAATTATAAAATTATTTATAGTTTATATCAAATATTTGCTTGCATTAGATCCATAATGTATTTTGTAAGTAATGTTTTGAACATGTTACATGATAATTATTTGCTATTAACTCATTATAATTGTATTATACTAATTATTTCTTTAAAATCTTCTGGAATTAATGGGCTATGTATACAATAAACAAATAAATAAAAGTAAATATGAGTAGTGTATTAAATATTGTTTTAATTTTTTAGAGATCTGATGGAGCGATAGCAATAGCAGAATCTCTGGAGCATCACCAGCACCATGGAGCAGGTGGCGGAGCACCTCGGGCTCCCCAATTGTCTTCCTTGGCGCTTACTACACACTCCACAACTCCTCAAATAGCACAGCTGTCACCTCCACCGCTGTTCATTACTACTGAGGTGAGAAACTTAAGATTTTAATATATATGTATGTCTATATATATATAATATATATATATATATATATATATTTATATATATATATATATATTATATTAATTTAGAAATATGAACAAACAACATTCTTTTTTGTACTAATTTATTAAATAATAATTTTACAAACGTTTCGAGACTAGGTTTGTCTCAACATCACTGTGCTATAATTTAAAAACTAAAATATGGAAACCTAAATTAGCATTATATGTTATCCTTGTGTTGTAAGTTCAACGCATCAAAACAATTTTCTTTTTCCTAAATTTATACAATGAATATACACATATCCGCCGTTTTACAGGGAAGATAGGTCCCACTTTTACATGTAAAAACCGTGCTAAACTAAAATCATTATAAAAAAGCCCTTTTTGTAGTTTGTAATATGATGAATAACAAACACAATGGACAAAAAATAAATATTAATATATTTAATATCAAACACATGTATAATGGACGACTTGTGACGGATAACACATAATGCTAATTTAGGTTTCCATATTTTAGTTTTTAAATTATAACTCACTGATGATGAGACAAAACTAGTCTCGAAACGTTTGTAAAATTATTGGTTAATAAATTAGTGCGAAAAAGAGTGTTGTTTGTACATATTTCTAAATTAATATTTATCTATCCACTCAGAATACATTTGTTATATATATATATATATATATATATATATATATATTAGGGTGGTCCTTAAAATAGTCATTTTCGAATTTCCTTGCTCCCAGGGGCTCAAATGGTTCCAAATAGATAAAAACAATTCTCTGAAAGTTTTAGCTCTTAATATTGTCTTTTATATAGAGCGCAATTCAATCAAACTTTTCTATGGAAATAGCATGAAAAAATCAAAAATTTTGCAGAACGTTGAATTTTCAATAAAAAATGACACGGATTTTCACTTTTAATTCATTTGTCGCTAAGTTATACCTATTATTATTTTTTTTTAATTTCAAAATTTTTTCCGTGCTAGTTTCATACGAAGTTTGATTGAATTGCGCACTATCTGAAAGTTAATATTTAGAGCTAAAACTTTCAGAGAATTGGTTTTCATTAATTTGGAACCATTTGAGCCCTTAGGAGCAAGGAAATTCGAAAATGTCCATATTAAGGACCACCCTAATATATATATATATACATACATATATATATATATATATATATATATATATATATATATATATATGTGCTTCTGCTAAGTGTTATTTTGTGTTACTGTATAGTCCTTTCCAATCTTTAGTAAATGATTTAAATTCCCCAAACACGTAAATCAGTGGCTTCAATTAAATACATATATATAATTACTGTATAATTTGCGTTTGCGGCATCGGATAGAGCTCTATAAGTTGTGGTATATTTTTTATTTCATTTCAATTTCACAAAGAGAGCTTTCCTTTCCATTTTTTATCATGTCAATCAATTATCATGATTTTCCTCAGTCTGCCCAACTAGAACTCTACCCGACGATCCGCTCGCGTCGTGCGGCTCCCCCGAACGTAGGCCTTACCACTGCCCCTAATGGGGGCGTATGCTCCGTAGCCGCTAATTCGGCTGCTGGCGGCGTCCTTCAGCAGCAGACTGCGATGAGAAGGGCGCTCGCCCGTATAAGGACTCGCGTGGCGGTCGAGACTGCCATCGACCTCCATCATCATCATCAGCAGCAACAGCAACAGCAACATTGGCACCAGCATCAAGTGCATCAGCAGCAGATGCAGAACGCCGCGCAGCATCAGGTAGTAAAGGATAGGGTTTTTTTTTTGAGCCACTGATTTACTTGTTAACTTCCCGAAGGAGAAGTTTATGTTTTCATAAAAAAATCCGATTCGCTAATTTTATGTTTTCTCCTGGACGTTTCAAGCCATTCTGAATCGAATCAGACCAAATTTAAGGCAAAAGTATGTGTGTGTGTGTGTGAACAGATTTTTTGCCGCAAATCGACGTTTTCTCGAAAACCGCTGGACCGATTTCATGAATTTAAAAGCCATTCGATGTATCTCGATGAGGACTATTGTTTGTCAGTTTTGTGCGACGATCGGCCAAGCCGTTTCTTCGTAAATAGCAGAAAAGTGAAAAGTTTTTCGTCCACGTTTTAGCCCACAATTCTGAATCGATTTTGGAAATTCAAAAATCGTTCGAAATATATTGGTTGGGAATCGACCTGATTAGTTTTTGGTAGAGATCGGCCAGGCCGTTTTCTTGTAATAAGGTGTTAAAAAATTTTTTTCGTCGATTTTTATTTTTATTTTTTTGACGGTAGATACCACAGTCTTCTAGATCATACTAAAATATTACGGTCCTACGACAACTCGTTTAGCTTTAAAAATTCGTCAAAGTTTGTAAAAATTAATATGTTCTTTTTGGCATTTGTCAAAATTAGAACTTTCATCGACGTTTGCTCAAAAACGCCTGAGCCGATTTCAAAAATTTAAAAACCATTTGGGGTCGTTCAAGTATTACGTAAGCAGATTTTTACAATTATTTACCCCCCCACCCCCCTTGTCATCAAAAGTAAGAAAAGCTCTTACCCCCTCCCCCCATGCTTACGTAAACATTTTGCAATTAATGTATACAAATTTTCGTCGATGATTTCGAGAACACGGATGAAGCGATTTGAATAATTCAAAGAGCATTCGATTCGTATTGATAAGAAGACGTGCTGATTAGGTTTTGGCGAAGGCAAGTCTAGCCGTTCCGAAGATATGGGGCAAAAAGTGCCAAAAATGGTAACTCAGTTTTTAAGAGAACGGTGCGTCCGATTTGAATAATTCAAAAAACATTTTACTTGTATTAACAAGATGAAGAACTGATCAAATTTCCATTAAGACAGGTCTAGCGGTTTCAGAGATCTAGTAACAAAAAGTAAAAAAAAATGCCATCTGGCGGTCAAAAATAATCATTAGACATATGCACATCAAATTATAAGATATTTTATAGAGATTTTAACAATAAGTATATATTTGGTTTACATTCCTATGGTTCCGTACCAATGTTATCCATTAGACGGCGACGCGTTTCGATATTTCGTTTCGCAGTACGATTGCTTTGAAAAAAAGTTCAGAATTTCCAAAATATTTCAAAACACATTTCTTCAAAAAGTTGTTGGACAGTTGTAAAATATATTAAAAAAAAAAAAAACTATGACGTAATTATCATCTAGACCCCCCTGCCCCCATGTCACCCAAAATAAGCAAATCAAATACCCCCCCGCCCCCCTAAAGTGCTTACGTAATACTTGAACGGCCCCTTTGATGTATCTCAATGAGGACTATCGTTTGTCAGACGATCTGCCGAACCGTTTCTTTGTAATTTGAAAAAAAGTGTTAAACTTTTTGTCCACATTTAAGCTCATACTACCGAATCGGTTTGAAAAAATCAAAAACTGTTCGAAAGATATAAGTTGGGAGTGATGCTGATTAGTTTTAGGTAAAAATCTACCGATTCGTTTTTTTGTAATTAACTGTTGAAAAAAAAAAATTAAGCCGATTTTTATGGAACTTTTTTTGGCGATATATATCATGGTCTTATAGAACTTACTGAAATATTACGGCCTTGCGACAAGTAGTTTAATTTTAAAAATTTATCAAAGTTTGAGAAAATGAGTAGTTCTTTTGGCATTTGCTAAAATTAAAATTAGTCGATTTACTTGGTATAACGATAGAGTACTTGGTCTTAATGAATATACTAAACAATTAAAGTCCTACAAAAAACTGGCTTATTTATAAAAAAATATTGATTTTTGAAAATTTGCTTTTAAAAAATACTCCGACCGGGTTGACGTGCTTGATTTTCAATAAATCCACTTCGAATACTTTTAACTACTCATAAATTAATTTATCTATCATGGATTAAGTCGATTAAACGGTTAAATGTAAAAATTAGGGAAAATGTAACTTGCTTCAAGGCAAAATACCAATACCAACTAGTTTGGGTAATGGATTTATGGAAGATAAAGAAAATGATTGATAAAATAACTATCTTTATTTTTAAATTTTAAGAAGAGAAAATGGGCTAGAAATACAAAATCCTCTGATCAATGTGAAGAATATGCATGTAATTTAGGATAAGCAACAATCAAGTTTGTTTGTTTTAGGCATAATCTTATGGATAGAGTGCAAAATCTTCATTATTATTGCAAGAAATGTAAAAATCAGTAGTCTAGTCTAATAAAATTAGTCAAAGATACAAATATATGCATATTATTAAAATTACAATAAAAAATCTGATTATTTAATGTGCAAATGTTAGATAATGAACGTGTTTACCATTTTTCGTCCTTAACTGCATGACGTCATGACCTTACATCTAATCTAACAATAAGAATATTATTGCCCAACTGTATTATTTATGTATCATTTCTCCCCCCAGCAGGCCGCACAAGCGGCAGCCGCCCAAGCAGCAGCCCAGGCCGCCGCCCAGGCAGCAGCAGCAGCTCACGCCGCAGCCCACGCCGTCGCCGCCGTCCACCGCCACGGTCCTCCGATCAGACGCCGCATACAGCAGGTGACAGTGCACGCGCTGAACCGCCACGGGGCCACGGCTACCGCCACAGGTCATCACCGGTTGCACCACCACCACCACCACCATCATCATCATCACCATCCGAATGGAGGTGCCGGTGGTCACCATCACGGACCGCAGCAGCCGCCGTCGGTGGCGCAGCACGCGCAACCGCCACCACCACCGCCGCCGTATTCGGGGATACTGCTCAATTTCCTGTAAGTAGAAAGTAGAAAGGACTCACAATGGTAAATATAGAAATATCAACTAAGACATAAGACGAAAGAGAAAGAGAAAGGAAAATTCAATACAAAAACAAAAGAAATTGAAGTAAAACTTTTTAAGCGCGTCTACGGTGTAAATCCGTACAATTGCAACGAAAGTTTCATACGGCAAGGTCGAGTGCCAATGATTTGTCATTCGCTCTCAATTTCCAAATGTCCCAATTTCCAATTTGTATAAAT